CTGCTCTCTCAGAGGTAATTAATAAAGGGACAGGCTATTCCAGGCCCTCCGGGGCTCTGGGACCATGGGGCTCTGAGCTATTGTAGGTCACATGATGCTGCTGTAAATATAGGCTTTATTCTGTGACTGTCTAGAGGCACCCTTTGAGCCTCAGCCCTGCCTGTTTATCTCTAGGCAGGGCTGCTGCCAGCGTGTGAAATCCACGGCAGGAGCGGTTCCCCCTCCATGGGGTTTAGGGCGGCTAGGAAAGGTCGTCAGGATGGTTTGTGCCCGAGAGCAGAGATCAGAGCTGGGTTCACAGCCCCAGAGAGCTGATTCCGCTGCTTAGCCCCAGAACAGGGGCATCCCTGTGACAACATCGGAAGCCTGCACAAAGTTGGAGCTAGACTTGGAAAGAAATGCAGTCCCTCGTCTCTTTTAGTTCCTCACTTCTCGGCCAAGCCAATGAGGAAGCGTCTATGATCATAAGAACATAAGAATGGCCATATTGGGTCAGACCCAAGGTCCACCCAGCCCAGTACCCTGACTGCTGACAGTGGCCAATGCCAGGTGTCCTGGAGGAAGTGAACCGAACAGGTAATGATCGAGCGATCTCTCTCCTGCCATCCATCTCCCCTCTTTGACAAACAGAGGCTAGGGACACCATTCCTTACCCATCCTGGTTAATAGCCATTAACATACTAAACCTCCATGAATTTATCTATTTCTCTTTTAAACCCTGTTATAGTCCTAGCCTTCACAACCTCCTCAGGCAAGGAGTTCCACAGGTTGACTGTGCACTGTGTGAAGAAGAACTTTCTTTTATTTGTTTTAAACCTGCTGCCCATTAGTTTCATTTGGTGGCCCCTAGTTCTTATGTTATAGGAACAAGTAAATCACTTTTCCTTATTCACTTTCTTCACACCACTCATGATTTTATCATGATTTAGTCTCCTCCTTTCCAAGCTGAAAAGTCCTAGTCTCTTTAATCTCTCCTCATATGGGACCTGTTCCAAACCCCTAATCATTTTAGTTGCCCTTCTCTGAACCTTTTATAATGCCAGTATATCTTTTTTGAGATGAGGAGACCACATTTGTATGCAGTATTCCAGATATGGGTGTACTATGGATTTATATAAGGGCAATAAGATATTCTCCGTCTTATTCTCTATCCCTTTTTTAATGATTCCTAACAGCCTGTTTTCTTTTTTGATTGCCACTGAACACTGCGTGGACGTCTTCAGAGAACTATTCACGATGACTCCAAGATCTCTTTACTGATAAGTTGTAGCTAAATTAGCCCCCATCATATTCTATGTATAATTGGGGTTATTTTTTCCAATGTGCATTACTTTACATTTATCCACATTAAATTTTATTTGCCATTTTGTTGCCCAGTCACTTTGTCTGGTGAGATCTTTTTGAAGTTCTTCACAGTCTGCTTTGGTCTAAACTACCTTGAGCAATTTAGTATCATCTTTGCCACCTCACTGTTTACCCCTTTCTCCAGATCATTTATGATCTGTCTATCTATGGAGTGGTCTGCTAAGAACTGCAGTGAAATACAGAAACTCGGGAAATCCAGCCAAGCGATTCAAAGGGCTGCAGATAATAAAGTGGTGGGTGATGATAGATAGATAGATAGATAGATAGATAGATAGATAGATAGATAGATAGATAGATAGATAGATAGATAGATAGATAGATAGATAGAGGATGGATAGAGGGGGTGTGCGGGAAAGGATGGATGGATAGATAGAGGATGGATAGAGGGGGTGTGTGGGAAAGGATGGAATCAAAGGCTTTGCAAGATGGGGATAGATCCATCAAGGATGACACAATAAGTTTGCTCTTTCATTTATATATTTTAGGTTACTAATATGCAGCGCAAATTTTGGAACATAAATATGAATTAGCATAAAGCTCTATAAGCTGCGTGCTATACAGTAAATCAAACAGCTGGAGTATCTCAGAATGTTTTTAATTAGAAAAATGATTTTTGGTGGACGTGCCCTCCAACCCCACATTTTTATGTTTTGGCAACTGAGCTATAAATTGCTCAAAATTGCATAAAATGTTCAGCTGGACTCCATCCCCCTAAATAGGGTTCGGAGGACAGCTGGGGCTTCCCATGAAAATGTGCTCAAACCCAACCCCAATTGATGGAAACCTTTTGAAAACGATGTGAGCAGAAAACTGGGGAATGCAGGTTTAAGAAACCCCGGGAAACACTAACATGGTCCATAACTTCAGACCAGTTCCTGTGATTGGCTCCATTGTCTTTTCGATTTCAACGGCTGCGCTGCAGCTTGGTAAAAGCAAGGAAGCAGTGATACGGGTCACCCCAGAATGTGTTTTGTATAAACAGTCACCAAGGATCCGACCTGGCCCCAGCAGCCAGAGCCTGTCTGCACCGACCGACAGGAGAGATGGACTTGGGGGAGGGGCAACAGGACTAAAACACAGAGCACCTGCTAGGGATGTAATTGTGTAGTCGATTAACTGATTAACTAATGAGCAAAAGCTTATCGGTTAGTGCTACAGACTACATGCGTTCCCTCCCCTCCCCTGCCAGTACATTTTTTTGCAGGCTGCCCCACAGCCCGGCTCAGTCCTGGCTTTTGCTGGGTCCGGGACCTAGCCCCACTGCGGCTCTGCATTTAACGTGTATTAGGGGCCAGGCAGACAGGCACCCAGCTCAGTTTGGGCTCGCACCAGGTCCAGGAGCTCACACCCTCCCCTGGACAGAGGCTACTGCCATCCCATACTGCTGCCTGTGTATCAGCTGGTTTTTAATCTGGCTCCCCTCGTGGACCAGTTCCTGTCTGGCACCCCACACTGCTGCCTCTGATATAGACGCAGCAGCGCAGAGTAGCAGGGGGCTCCTCGAGAGTGGGACTGGAGCGCACTGGCTGAGAGCGCAGCCCCAGAAACTATAGAATAGTTGGTTAATCAATTAAAATTCATGAATGTAATCAACTATTCAATTAACCAATATTTAATGTCCCTAGCACCTGGCTTACTGACAGTTCCGGCCTACAACATGGCAGCAAGCTGACCAGAAATGTGGTGCCTGGATGCCGAGAACATACACTTGATAAGACACAACCAAGGCAGACAGTGGGAGGGGAAACAGAGGCACAGGGAGTGAAAGTGACCAGTCTAAGGACACAGAGAAGGTCAGTGACAGAACCAAGAGCAGATCCCAGGTCTCCTGGCCTGCACAGCACGGAGATAAAGCTATGGAGAGAAAGGAAACAACACAGTAGTAACAGGGCTATGTGACCAGCCAATCATCACACAGTTATGGGTGTGCAGCCAGGAGCCCTCAATCCATGAGCAACCCAGTGGCAGGCCGTCCATGTGGTGCCAAGGTGGAATCATTGCGGACAGACGGCTGGGGGATGCTAGAGGAGACTGCCAGGTTTCCCAAGGAAGTGGAAATTGGGTGGTGCTGACAATTTAGTATTTTCGACAAATGAAAGGCGAGAGTGCCCCATTCATGGATCACAGTCCTGGGCTAGCTTTGATCAAGCAAATGTGATCCTAGAACATATTAACAAGAGTGTCGTGAGCAAGACATGAGAAATCATTCTTACTCTGCACTGATTAGGCCTCAGCTGGAGTATTGTGTCCAGTTCTGGGTGCCACATTTCAGGAAAGATGTGGAGAAATTGGAGAGGGTCCAGAGAAGAGCAACACGAATGATGAAAGGTCTAGAGAATATGAGCTAGGAGGCAAGACTGAAGGAATTGGGTTTGTTTAGTTAGGAAAGGAGAAGACCGAGAGGGGACATGATAGCACTTTTCAAGTATCTAAAAGGGTGTCACAGGGAGGAGGGAGAAAAATTGTTCTCCTTGGCCTCTGAGGATAGGACAAGAAGCAATCGGTTTAAATAGCAGCAAGGTAGGTTTAGGTTGGACATTAGGAAAAACTTCCTACCTGTCAGGGTGGTTAAACACTGTAATAAATTGCCTAGGGAGGTTGTGGAATCTCCATCTCTGGAGATATTTAAGAGCAGGTTGGACACACACCTGTCAGGGATGGTCTAAACGGTGCTTGGTCCTGCCCTGAGGGCAGGGGACTGGATTTGATGACCTCTGGAGGTCCCTCTAGTTCTAGTGTTCTATGATTCCATGATTCTATGAATGGGCAGCAGTAGAGCGGTGGCAGTAGAAATGCCAATAATATTGCCCCTGGTCTGTACTTAGATCAGCCATGCCACTGCTGCTGGTTATCACGCTCCAGCGGCTGTTGATAATCATGCTGGTTCCAAGAAAGCAAGCAGATGTGTGCGAAACAAGAGGGGAACCCTACTGGAGACATCACGATGGTTTCATGCTGAGTTGGGAGCCGAGTATTTGTACCCACAGACCTCTGTCTCCGATACAGGACTGGTAGGATATGTCTAGACTACAGGGGTTTGTTGACAAAAGTGGACTTTTGTCAACGAAACTATACCTGCGTCTACACTACCTCCGAGTTCTGTCAATGGCGGTAAACCTCATTCTACGAGGAATAATGCCTTTTGTCGACAGAGTTCTGTCGACAGAAGGCGTTATTGCATCTACACTGTCCTTTGCGTCTACACTCTCATGTTGACAAAACGGCTTGCTTTGTCGACAGAAATGGCTGTAGGTTAGATGTTCTTTGTTGACAGAAGCTTTGTCAACAGTATCTGGCGACAAAGCCTCTGTCGACAATAGCCTGTAGTCTAGACGTACCCTAGAGTTGTGTAGTTCTTTGTTCCATCCTTCACATCGCATCTTTATCCAGTTACATTGAGGGCCAGCAGGTGTAAACTGACCCCATCATTGATCCTGACATGACACTTTACACAAGTGTGATTGTGAAGCTGATGGGTCTGACTGTCACTCCCAACAGACTGTGGAAGTGATGCGTGGTTCGCACCTCAGCTGATGTTATTAAGATGAAAATCAGGGTCAGTTCTTCTGTCACCCTAATCCTGACCAGTGCTCATCTTCCCTCCACAGGCTGGACACAATGTCCTGAGAAAGAAAATGTCCAACCTAACCATCATGACCGAGTTCCTTCTCCTTGGGTTGTCTGATATTCGGGAGCTGCAAATTTTGCACTTTGTGGTGTTTCTAGTAATTTACCTGGCAGCCCTGATGGGGAACCTTCTCATCATCATGGTTGTAGTCCTCGACCATCGTCTTCACACCCCCATGTACTTCTTCCTGGTGAATCTGGCCGTTCTAGACCTCGGCTCTATCTCCGTCACTGTCCCCAAGTCCATGGTCAACTCCCTAACCAACATCAGGTTGATTTCTTATTCTGGGTGTGTCGCCCAAGTCTTTCTTTTCATCTTCTTCGAATCAGCTGATGTGGCCTTACTAACTGTCATGGCCTACGACCGATATTTTGCCATCTGCCAACCACTGCACTATGAGTCTGTGATGAACAGGAGAACTTGTGTCCATATGGCCATTGGGGCCTGGATCACTGGTATTGTCAATTCGGTACTGCTGACCGGGAGCATGTTTGCAAGAACCTTCTGTGGAGGCAATGTTGTTGATCAGTTCTTCTGTGACATCCCCCAGCTAATCAAGCTGGCCTGCCCTGACTCGTACCCTAGCATAATTGGAGCTATTGCCTCGAGTGTGTTTTTAGCTTTAACCTGCTTTGTCTTTATCATTGTGTCTTACGTTCATATCTTCAAAGCGGTGCTGAAAATCCCCTCGGAGGAGGGCCGGCATAAGGCCTTCTCCACCTGCCTCCCCCACCTCATTGTCATCTCCTTGCTACTTAGCACTGGTTTCTTTGCCTACCTGAAACCCACCTCCAGCTCAACAACATGGCTGGATCTTGTGGTGGCTGTTTTCTATTCCCTAGTGCCTCAGTTGATGAATCCAGTCATCTACAGCATAAGGAATAGGGAGATCAAAGCTGCCCTGTGGAAAATGGTGGGTTTCAGTCTAGTCTCCAAAAATTAAAGGTTCAACTTTTTTCAGGACCATTTGTTGTTTTTTAATGTATTTTAAGTTCTTTACAAACACAATCAACTGTTGCCATGACTTGCTGCATGAGAACATAGACCACAAGCTAGACATGAACACTGGTGTATTAACACTGGCAAATATCTAAACAAACAGCACTTCAGTCAATGAAATTAATATAGGCTGATTAGGTCTTCTCTGAAGTGTTGTGTCCAGTTTGGGGCACCACATTTCAAGAAGCATGTGGAGAAACTGGAGATGGTCCAGAAGGGTCTAGCAAACATGGCTTATGAAGGAAGACTGAAAGAACTAAGTTGGTTTAGCCTGAAAAAGGGAAGAGTGAAAGCTTCAAGTATTAAAAAGGTCAACAGTCAGGGTGGTTAAACTCTGAAATAAGTTGCCTAGGGAGGTTGTGGAATCTCCATCTCTGGAGATATTTAAGAGCAGGTTAGACAGACACCTCTCAGGGATGATCTAGAGTTGTCTGGTCCTGCCGTGAGGGAAGGGAGCTGGACTTGATGACGACTCAAGGTGCCTTCCCATTCTAGTGTTCTATGTGTCATCAGTCAGGGGTTTGGGGTTGTCCCTATGGGTTCCTGACAGGTCCTCTACTCTGTCGATGATGATAAACTTTCGGCTGTGTGCATAAAAATGTGTGTTCCCCTAGCTAAAGCATTAACACTGTGCACTTGGGTCAACATGATAGACCTCTGAGAGCCCCCAGAAACGATAGATCAGGAAAAGATGAAATCAACCGAGCAGGTTTATTGCCAAATGCCATGTAGTAATAGTTGTTAGCAGACAATTTCAATGCTAAGCCGCTGCGCGTTCTGTACGTCGTGGCAATGACACCCACTTATAGAACTACATACAGCCCCCTGCCCCCAAGATCAGTCGGTGATCACTCTTTCAAGTGCCCTTTTATAGACACATACAAATAAATTACGTCACTTCTCGTGTACCATTCTCTGCTAGCTGGTTACCATGCCTCACCTTGTAGAAGGAAAGTCTACTTACTATCCTTCATGCTGTCAACTTCAAACCAGTCCTGAACCTAATTTTTAGGGGAGTTGGCTGGTACCATCTTATTGAGATGTTCTGCTACTCCCCTCTGGCCCACAGCCTGTCTTGACCATGGTGCCTCTTTATGTTCTTCCATGCTCAACCTAACTTACAGAGTCATACAACTTTCAATAGGATCTTTTTCTTGACTACCGTGTTACTGAGCCAAAGTCTTGCTCATTAGATTCCGGGCCTGTTGCCTTTTTTATGATACAGGCCTTTATTCAAGCCTGCTGACTTCGTGTTACTGACCCTCATAAAAACATCAGAAGAGCCAGACTGGGTCAGACCAATGGTCTATTCAGCCCAGTAGCCTGTCTGCCGACAGTGGCCAATACCAGATGCCCCAGAAGGAGAGAACACAAAAGGTATTCCTCATATGATCCCTCCCCTGTCATCCATTTCCAGAAAAACAGAGGCTAGAGACACCATTCCTCCCCGGCCTGGCTAGTAGCCATTGATGGACCTAACCTCCGGGAATCTATCTAGCTTTTTTTTTAACCCTGTTAAAGTTGTAGCCTTCACCACATCCTTTGGCGATGAGTTCCACAGGTTCACTGTGTGCTGAGTGAAGAAAAACTTTCTTTAGTTTGTTTTAAACCAGCTGCCTATTAATTTCATTTGGTGACCCCTAGTTCTTATACTGCGGGAACAAGTAAATTACTTTTTCTTATTCACTTTTTCCTCACCAGTCATGATGTTATAGACCTCTATCCTATCCCCCTTTAGTCTCCTCTTCTCTAAGGGTGTGTCTAGACTACTGAGTTTTGTCGACAAAACTATGGACTATGTGGACTTTTGTCGACAAAACTATACCTGCGTCTACACTACCGCTGAGTTCTGTCGACATAACGTCGACAGAACTCAGCAGTTTTGTCGACACTGGTAATCCTCATTTTATGAGGCATAACACCTTCTGTCGACAGAGTTCTGTCAACAGAAGGTGTTATTGCCTGTAGGGTTGTGTCTAGACTACAGGGTTTTGTCGACAAAGCAGCTTGCTTTGTCGACAGAACTGAATGTGTCTAGACGCTCTATGTCGACAGAAGTTTTGTCGACAGTAACTTCTGTCGACAAAGAGCATCTAGACTACATTGAGTTCTATCAACAAAGCAAGCTGCGTGTAATCTCTCTTCATACAGGACCCATTCCAAACCTCTCATTTTTGTTGCCCTTTTCTGAACCTCAACTTACTACATTATGATTCTATGACTGTAATTTATATCACTGTAACATAGGCCTTTTTACAGCAGTATAAATAAGTTAAATTTCTCTCTCTCTCTTATAATTGGCAATTAAATAGAAATCTGTCAATTGGACACTGTGAGGCAGTGTGATAGTACAAGGAATAGTCATATCCGATCCGACACACTGCTTTTGTGCCCTGTATCTATACCAGGCACAGCCAGGCACAAAGATAGAATTCAAGTAATTACGATGATTATCAAAATCAGCAAGTTCCTTCTTCAGTTAGGGTGTGACTAGATTCCCACTGGAAGGTACATGGAACATCAGGTCAGTGCATGGAATGACTGACCAAGGTTACACTTACACTAAGGTTAGAATGAAATTACTATGTAAATCCAAAAAGTGATTTACACCAGTCATTATGTTATTACTGAGTTTAAACCCAAATTTCTGGGCCAAGACTTTGCTGATATTAAATCACGTATAAGAGCAGAGATATTCTACCCTGGTCCAGGCCAAGAGGAGCTGGGAATTTCACCCTCACATCTCTGTTGTTGTGATTTCTTCAGGCTACCTTCAGTTACTTTTGCGCCCTTTGGTGTATTGACCATGGTCAAAATATGGATCCTTTTGAAATGAATGGCTGAGCCCTATTGACGTCAATGGGACCCAAATTTGCCCTCATTATGCAGACAGAGCGTGTCCATAAGAAACAATGGAAAACCTTTCTTTTCAAACAAGCATTTCCATTTTCTAACTTACCTGGATTGGCCACAACATTTTTGTGTTAGTTTCTTTAGGGTTTAATTTGCCTGTCCAAGGTCTAGGTTCTGTAATGCATCACGATTAACACCGTAAAATCCCAGCAGTATTAAAAGAATCTTTGGAACTGAAATTCCATCTGGACAGCTCCGGAAACTCCTTTTCACCTCATCATTCTTGTGGACAGTTTTAGCAAAAGGATTTCTCAGCCATAGAGCCCTTGAGATCTTTCAGAAGTGGAGACGTCCTGAGGTGGTCAGTCGCCTGCCCAGTTCAGACCCCAGTCCCCAAAAGGGTCTCAATCTCTGTGACAGGTGCTCACATTATGCATGTGGAGATCCAACAGTCAGACTTTCATCCTTCCTTGTGGATACCTCATGTAGAAACCTCCCCCCCCCCCCCCACACACACACACACTGTTCCATGTGGGGGGAGCAGTTGTCAAAAGTAGTCAAAACACCAACCAGATTTGGCGTTCCCAGATTGCACCCTGAATGGCTCTGAATGAAAGTCCTTCAATGAGCAGTGGCACGCCTGTGTTGGATGGGGGGGGGGGCATGTCTGTTGTAAATGGAGCACAATATACTGACCCTTGGATAAGAACTGACATGCATTTACTGTGCTCATATTTCCACTTTGAGTACATCAACACACTGGCCTGGACCAAAGCACTCTGTTTTTCAGGTCTTGGGCTAAGGCACTGGGATGGGTTCCCTAGGAGGTGGTGGACTCTCCATCCCTAGAGGTGTTTAAGTCCTGGCTTAATCAAGTCCTAGCTTATGACAGAGGCAAGGGACATCATCCCTGCCCATCCTAGGTAATAGCCATTGATGGACCTATTCTCCGTGAATGTATTTAGCTCTTTTTTGAACCCTGTTAAAGTCCTAGTCTGTATAGCATCCTCTGGCAAGGAGTTCCACAGGTTGACTGAGTGTTGTGTAAAGAAATTCTTCCTTTTGCTTGTTTTAAACCTGATACCCATTAATGTAATTTGGTGACTCCTAGTTATTGTGTTAATGGAAGAAGTAAATAACTTTTCCTTATTTACTTTCTCCACACCAATCATGCTTTACAGACCTCTATCATTTCCCCCCTTAGTCTCCACTTTTCTAAGATGTAAACTCCCAGTCTTATTAATCCGTCCTCATATGGCATCCCTTCTAAACCCCTAATCATTTTTGTTGCCCTTTTCCGAACTTTTTCCAATGCCCAGATATCTTTTTTGAGATGAGGCAACCTCATCTGTATGCAGTATTCAGGATGTGGGCATATGATGGATTTATACAGAGGCAATAAGATATTTTCTGTCTTATTCTATATCCCTTTTTGAATTATTCCTAATGTTCTGTTTGCTTTTTTGACAGACGCTGCACACGGAGTGGATGTTTCCAGAGAACTATCCATAGCAATGCCTGGATGTTTTGAGCGGTAACAGCTAATTGAGTCTCCATCATTTTGTTCATCTAGGTAGGATTATTTTTTCCAATATGCCTTACTTTGCATTTATCAACATTAATTTGCCATTTTGTTGCAGTCTCCTAGTTTTGTGAGGTCCTTTTGAAGCTCTTCACAGTCTGCTTTGGTATTAACTAGTTTGAGCAGTTTAGTATCTTCTGCGACGTTTGCCACCTCCCTGTTTACCTCTTTTCTAAATCATTTATGACTATGTTGAATAGGATTGGTCCCAGTACAGATTCCTGTGGAACATTACTAGTTACCTCTCTCCATTTTGAAAACTGACCACTTATTCCTATCCTTTGCTTCATTTCTTTTAATCATGAGAGGACCTTCCCTCTTATCCCTTGACAGCTTCCCTCTTATCCCATGACAGCTTACTTTGCTTAAGAATCTTTAGTGAAAGACCTTTTCAAAGGCTTTCCTGAAATCTAAGTGCACTATATCCACTGGATGGATCCCTCTTGTCCACATGCTTGTGGACACCCTCGGAGAATTCTAGTAGATGAGCGGAGGTAATACAGATAAAATGTGAGCTCAAAGAATGTGGTCACCCAATAGTGGCACATCCTTGCATGGGCTAGATTTCACTTTATTGCCCTTCTATAGTGCCTTAAAAACCCAACTTCCACAGAAACGTAGTGAGAGATCCAAAGTTCAGCTTCTCGGTTGTATCTAGACTACAGGGTTTTTTCCAAAAAAGTGGCCTTTTTCAAAAAAACTTCCCCTGCAGCTAGACTGCTGCCGTGTTCTTTCAAAAGGAAATCAAAAGAACGTGGCAGTTTTTTCGACCGTGGAAAACCTCATTTTACGAGGAAGAACGCCTTTTTTCGAAAGTGCTCTTTCGAAAAAAGGCGCTATGTAATGCAAACTGTGCTTTTTTGAAAGAGAGCATCCAGACTGCCTGGGTGTTCTCTTTAGAAAAAGCGATTTTCTTTTTTAAAAGTGCTGGTTGTAATCTAGATGCTCTTTTTCAAAAGAGGCTTTTTCAAAAGTATCTTTCGAAAAAGCCTCTTTCGAAAGAAGTTTGCAGTCTAGACATATCCTATGGATGTTCAGCAAGGATGGCACAGGGTTTAAACTAAAGAAGCAAATGTAATTACATAACTTTATAAAATTTTAGGATGAAGAACAAATAATAATCTGGTTTTTACAACACAGCATAGCTATTCTGTCACCCGCGGGCAATATTTTCACAGTTACAATTCCGAGAAAACAAGAAGGAAAATTTGAAGAGTTCAGTCGGCAGAGAACACAGTAAGAAGAAACAGAGAGATCCCAAAAGCTTAGGAGTAGTTCTCCTAAGTCTCAGTGAGTGTGTTTGATTACCCAATTTGCTCAATATTCTGAGTCTGAAACATTGTCCCTCCACTTGCTTGTAGGAATCCTCAGTTGGAATACAGGCAGTCTCTTCCTCTGCAATAGATTACGGCTAGACAGCCAGCTCTCTGATTAACCAGTGTGTCATGTAAATCACAAGTGAACCGATTTAAAGAAAGCCCCATTACAGGAAAATGTGAAAACAGAGAATAACAAAACAGAAATGACTTTCTCCATTGCAACAGGGGGTCCCCAGTTTGTGATGGCCGGATTAATGACCCCCTGCGGTTATGATCTTTTCCGTAAGTGTGGAAAGGGCTGAAATCCTCCGATGTATGTCTTCGGCCCCACATTTACGACGGCGTACGATGCCTGTCCTAAATGTGGACTCGAGTTACGAGGCCCCTGACTTGCGATGGCATCTCCAGAATTGATCGCGTCGCAAGACAGGGACAGCCTGTACATTTAAAGAACAGCTGATGAATCACACTAGTGGAGAACGTAACTAGCAATTTTTTGGTATAATCAGAACAACATTCCAAGCACATAATGAAAACAGAAAACATGATTTTTCCCTCGGTTTCCCCCGGCTATAATTAATATTGCCCCTGTTCCCGGGTCATCACTACCTACTGCAAAGTGCTTCAGAGCGAGGGACAGTAACCTACTTTCTGCTCTTGAGCTCAGCTTCTCCCAGCTCCTACAGGGCACATGGCCCTTAGAAAAGCAGCCCTGCCTATTTGGTCCTGGAGTCTGACCCCAGCTACAGAGACAGACCCTATTGGAACAGATCCCAAACTACCACGCCCATTTCCAGAAGCATGTGGGGGTGGGGTAATAAATCAGCGTAGGAAAAATGACCCAGACACAACCCACTTCTACCCTCCCAACCTGAGTCTCTTAGAGTGCCGCTACACAGCACCCTAAACTCAAAATAAGCAATGCAATTTGACCTCCGCAAATTGTGTATCTTATCTTATTTGAAATTTGGTGCATATCCACAGCCTCATATTTCAGAACAACGTGCTATATCAAGTCATCCCTTATCCCTCGTGCAACAAGGTTTACCGGGATGGTGAAATAGCATGCCCAATATTTCAAAAAATATTTCAAAATAACGCGTGGCTTGTGTAGATACCTCAAGTCTCCCAAAAAAGTCATGCAGTATAGACATACTCTTTCAGAGATATCTCCCTATTAGCTACATGCATTACAATAGCATAAGCCCTGGGGAGCAATTTTGTTTTAACACGGCTGTAAATGGAAAATTACATTACATACACTGACCTGGCATTGCATTACCATCTAGTGCTTCTCTGGCCACATCCAGCCTTAAAGCGAATCCAGAAATTGCCTGCTGCCTCAAATAATATTTATTTGAGCTAACTTTGGGAATCACTGTGCAAGGAACGTACACAGTACAGAAAAGCAAAGTGTGCCTTTAGACAGGCAGATAGGATGGAACGTACCTCATAGTGTTATAATGACAGATTTCTCTTTTACGGTGAAATACGGTAGGTCGATTTTTTTACTTGCTTGCACTGGTGTGACTCTATCTTAACTACATTGAGTGCAGTGGTGTTTGGACAGCAATATGCCATTACAAATTGTCCAGTGTCCATAAGAGGATGTTCTCAGAGAGAAAAATAATGTTCTCAGTTGTTAAAATGTGTAATACCAGAATGAGGCTGTGATTGCGGGAGCAAGACCGACATTTTATGCATGTTGAATAGTCTTGAGCCAATCAGTTTCCACAGGGCAGCTTTGATCTCCTTGTTCCTCATGCTGTAAATGACCGGATTCAGCATGGGAGGCACTACAGAATAGAGAACAGCCAAAATGAGGTCCAGACGTGAGCTTGAGCTGGAAGTTGGTTTCAGGTAGGAAAAGGACCCAGTGCAAAGCAACAAGGAGACCACAGAGAGGTGGGGGAGGCAGGTGGAGAAGGCTTTGTGCCGGCCCTGCTCCGAGGGGATTCTCAGCACCGCTCTGAAGATCTGAACATACGACACAATGATAAAAACGAAGCTACCTATACTCAAACACACACTGAATCCAAGAACCCCAACTTCACTAAGGTAGGCATCAGAGCAGGCCAACTTGAGCGACTCAAACACGCACTGAATACAAGAACCCCAACTTCACTGTGGTAGGCATCAGAGCAGGCCAACTTGAGCAGCTGGGGGATTTCACAGAAGAACTGATCCACTGAGTGGCCTCCACAGAAGGTTACAGAAAATGTGCTTCCAGTGTTAAGCATGGAATTGAGAACGCCACTGATCCAGGCACCGACGGCCATTTGGATACACGCTCTCTTGTTCATCACTCGCTCGTAGTGCAGTGGGTGGCAGATGGCCATGTAGCGGTCATAGGCCATGACCGTGAGTAAAGCAAGATCAGCTGACACGAAGAAGAAAAGGAGAAAGACTTGGGCCACGCATCCAGAGTATGAAATCGACCTGGTGTTGGTTAGGGAATTAGCCATGGATTTGGGGACAGGGACAGAGATGGCGCCGAGGTCCAGGATGGAAAGGTTCACCAGGAAGAAGTACATGGGGGTGTGAAGACGGTGGTCGAGGGCTATCACTATGATAATGAGAAGATTCCCCATCAGGGCTGCCAAATATATCACCAGAAAGACCACAAAGTGCAAAATCTGCAGCTTCCGAATGTCAGAGAATCCCAGGAGAAGGAACTCGGTCATGGCAGTTCGGTTCTGCATTGTCCTTTTCAGCGTATTGCCCCGCAGCCTGTAGAGGGAAGAAAAAGGCCAGTAGTAGGGTAGGAACGACCGACAAAATTCCCGATTCTCTGTGGGATATCTCCTGATGAGAAAGACCAGTTGGCCAAGCAAGTCTCACCTCCATGGACGAAAGGTGGTAAGAACACCAGACTTCTAGAGCACTAGTCTGGTGCATTATCAACCTAGGGAAACTGAATTAGGTGTAAATACATGTTTCCCTGTTGCAGGAAGGGCTAACCAGTCTGAGTATGAACATCGCAGGGTCCCGTGGCTTCAAAGCTGAGGCAGTGAGCCTGGGCCACTGCTTGTGATCAGGGAATCAGCCCCAGCTCCAATACTGCAATACCAACCCCCAACAACACCTGGTTCCCAGGGAGGGACTTTCTTGTCTCCCCCAGTGGCAGCTGGTCCGAAATGAGCTCTGACCAGCCTCTGATCAGAGACGGGCTGCTGCATGCTTGCCCATTGATTCATGGCCCCAGATCCCCATCTCCGTGGAATGCTAGACTGAGAACATCCCCCTGTCACTGCTGGTATTTACCACTCGGACTTTATATCTGTGCGGGGCAGGTCAGGGGCTGCCCCAAGAGGTGAATTCTCTTCTTGGGTCTGCCACTGACCTGCCGCTTGGCCCTGGGCCACTCCTTTGTCCTGAGTTTCCCATTTCTCTGCCTCATGGGGAAGTTTTTTGGGGGATGTGCAGCGTATACTCTGTGTACATAGCCAAGACTGTCAGCAGCATTGTACACTGGACATTGTATTAGATCAGAGGATTACAGTGGAAGAGAAGTTGAAGATGAGTCAACAGGGCGCCCTTGTAGCCAAGAAAGCTAACGGCATATTACGGTGCATTAGGAGGAGCATTGCCAGCAGATTTAGGGAAGTGATTATTCCCCTTTATTCAGCACTAGTAAGGCCAGATCTGGAGTATTGCATCCAGTTCTTGGCCCCCTTGTTACAGAAAGGACGCGGACTCATTGGAGAGGGTCCAGCGGAGGGCCACCAAAAGTATGAGGGGACTGGAGCACATGACCTACGAGGAGAGACTGAGGGATTTGGGCTAGTTTAGTTTTCAGAAGGGAAGAGTGAGGGGGGATTTGAGAGCAGCCTGCAACTTCCAGAACAGGGAGTCTAAAGTGGATGGAGAGAGGCTGTTCGCAGTGGTGGCCGATGGCAGAACAAGGAGCAATGGTCTCAAGTTGCAGTGGGGGAGGTCTAGGTTGGACATGAGGAAAATCTATTTCCCTAGGAGCAGGGTGAAGCCCTGAAATGGGTTCCCTAGGGAGGGGCTGGAATCTCCATTCCGAAGGGTTTTTAAATCCAATCTTGACAAAGCCCTCGATGCGATGCTTGAGTTGGGATTGGTTCTGCTTTGACTAGGGGGCTGGACTCACTGACCTCTTCAGGTCTCTTCCAGTCCTAGGATTCTATGATTTGGACTCTACTCCGACTGACCTCCCACATGTCCATGAGTGCAGTCTGGAGAAGAAACCTGACCCTGGATTTAAAGGTGATTGTCTATATGAACCATGTGAATGCTGAAGCACAGAAATAAACCCGGACACAATCGAATGAAAGTATTGGAAAATATTAGAAATTGTACATTCAGGAGGGACCATTTCTATAATCTAGTTTTACCTCCTGCATGACAGAGACTGTAGAACCTCCTGAAATAATTCTTCCTTGAACTATAACACATCTTCAGACACTATGAACACATCAGTCAAAATTCACTTTCTCCACCCTTCATTATTCTTTAAGGCTGAATGGAAATGTTCAGTGGAATTTTTTCTTTCTTTGAGGTTGTATGTTTCAAAAGAAAAACACAGCAAAACCCATCTGCTGGTTTTAGACATATTCGAGGTTTGATAGCAACACTGAAAACTCAGATTTCGGTTGGGAGGTAAAGAAACTGATGTTTCCAGCAGAAGGATTTTTGTATTTTAACCCAGAAGAAAACATATTTTAGGATTTCAACAAAAAGGTGAAGTTTTCATCCAGGAGTTCTATTTTTTGGTTAAAACCAGCTCTAGATATTTCAGCAAGATTATAGTAAACCTCTTAAAGAATACCAATTGTATTTTTCCTGATGCTCCTATGGCTCCCCTGTGTGTGGAACACCAAAAGCATTTAACTGAATCGGTCCACTTACTGTTCTGGTCTTCTCTGGATATTCCCAACATGAGATGCAGTCATTCATCCAACAGCAGGATTAACTGATCATTGCACAAGTAGCTAGCAATATCTAGCAGCCATCTAACCCTCCCTTTATCACTCAGATGCGGATCAGTCTGAATGGGAATCACTCTGCAGCTGAGTGGTGTCTGTCTGGCTGTGAGCATCGCTGGCATGAAAGGAGGGATGTCGATTTCCTAACGCCATGTGGGACTCACTCCCGGGGGCCTGGCACTCAGTAGCAGAGGCCCAGAGACAGAAGGTCACAGATTGATCAATATCAAGCCAAAAGGAGCCATTGGGTTTCCAGCCCAGCATCTGTTAACTGTGAGCCAGGGTTCCAAAAAGGGATTTGGGCACAGACAGACAGTAGCCCAGTATGATTTAGTAATGCTCTGCCAGGTGGTTAAGGCCCATGGTCATTCAATGGGAGTTGGGTGCCAACTCGATTAGCATCCCGTGGTAATCCTGGCTCTTCAGCCATTTAGTTAACTTCCCAGCCCACGGGGATTCTTCCCCCAGACTCCCCCCACTCTAGCCCCACACACCACACCCTAAAAAGGGTAGGGAAGGAGCATGGCATGGACCTGACACCCTTGTCCAAGCAGATATACCCTGGCTGGGGAGGTGAGGTTGGCATGGGCATTGCTGCTCCTTCTAATACACCCCAATATGTGGTTAGCCTTGTTGGCCACAAGGGCACCCTGTTGACTCGTATCCAGCTTCTCATCCACAGCAATCCCCAGGTCCTTTTCTGCCAGACTGCTGCTTAACCAGTCAGTCCCCAGCCTGTAACAATGCTTGGGATTCTTCCATCCCAAGTGTAGGACTCTGCTCTTGTCCTTGTTGAACCTCATCAGATTTCTTTTGGCCTCATTCATCCAATTTGACTAGGTCACTTTGGACCTTATCCCTGCCCTCCAGCGTATCTACCTCTCCCCCTAGCTTAGTGTCATCTGCAAACTTGCTGAGGGTGCAACCCATCCCCTGAAACTTTGGCACCTGTGAGTTCACTCAGTCCTGGTTCTGGTTCATCCAATTGCAAAGGAAAAAGGCTTGTTTACATTTCTGAGCTATCACGCAGGTAATGTTGTAAACAAGGAACAGGCTTCATAATCTCCTGTAAATTCTGACCAAATGTCTTTGTCTGAGCAATGGCTGAACAGGAAGTAGGACTGAGTGGACATAATCCACTAAAGTTTGCCACTCTTTTCTTTTTTAAGACATTTATTGTCTGTACACAATTTGACATTAACGTTTCGTGATGAGGAGTTTGCACTACAGTACTTGTATCAGATGATTTAAAAAATGACTGTTTCTTTGGAGTTTTTTTACAGTGCAAATATTTGTAATCCAGCACACGTACAAAGTGTGCTACAAATCCATTTAGCCTGGGTCCAGCACTTCCCTCGGTTTAGTCTTATTCCTCAGGGGTTTCCAGAAGCTATGTAAAGGCTGTGGTTTGGTGGGTTTAGGATACCGGAGATATCCCAAAAAAACTCCGCCGCATCCAGGGAACGCGTTTCCTCTTCCACTTTTTTTTGCAGATGAGCACCTCTTCCAAATGGGAAGGGAAGGGAAGGAAATGTAGACTGGCCAAATTTTGGAAAAGCCTCTTCCAAAAAAAAAAAGCAGAAAAAGGTGTGGTCGAGACATAATCCAAGACTCATCTTGTGTGGGGAGAGAAGAACCACAAGATGAAGCTAAAACAAGTTGTTGTTTTTTTCTTCACTCAGCACAGAGTCAACCTGTGGAACTCCTTGCCAGAGGATGTTGTGCAGATCAGGACTTTAACAGAGTTTAAAAAAGAACTAGATAGATTCATGGAGGTTAGGTCCATCAATGGCTATTAGCCAATATGGGTAAGAAGGGTGTCCCTAGCCTCTGTTTGTCAGGAGCTGGAAGTGGGTGACAGGGGAGGGATCACTGGATGGTTCCCTGTTCTGTTCCCTCCCTCTGGGGCACCTGGCATTGGCTGCTGTCAGTAGACAGGACACTGGGATGGATGGGCCTTTGGTCTGACCCAGTCTGGCTGTTCTTATGATCTAGTAGGACACGACTGAGAGTACCAATTTAGGGCGAATTGCTCAGAAACTGAGCAGCCACAGTTTAAAAGAGAGGATCCTTTCCTTACAAGATAACCTGCAATTAGCCAGAAAGAGAACTTCTTTTTTACCACTCTAGCTAACAAGGGGTAGGTCTACACAGCAACATTGTTTCAAAACAACGTCCACACAGCAGGCGGTTATTTCAAAATAATGTAGAAATACGGTCAAGCTGGAGGACGTCTTACTCCGACTCCTGTAATCCTCATGGTATGAGGAGTAAGGGACATTGGAGGAAGAGAGCTCTATTTCAAAATTAGTGCTGCGTAGATGTATGTGACTACATCCCTCTGTCACCAGAGGGATGTAAATTAGACATACCAAAATTGCTAATGAAGCGTGGATTTAAATATCCCATGCTTCATTAGAATAAAAATGGCTGAGGCTTTTTGCCGACGGGGCAATTTGCCGGCAAAACGCATCAGTCTAGACGGGGATCAGTCGACAAGGAAAGCCTTTTCTGACTGATCCTGTAAATCTTGTTGCATGAGGCATAAGGGATCGGTTGGAAAAGGCTTTCCTTGTTGACCGATCCCCATCTAGACTTATGCTTTTTTCTGGCAAATTGCCACATCGGCAAAAAGCGGAAGCCATTTTAATTCTAATGAAGCGTGGCATATTTAAATCCCTCGTAAGGGATTATGCTTCATAAGGCATAGGAGCTTTCGTGCCTGCTGCTCAGGGCCCTGGGCTAAGGGGACTCACAAAAGATCTGGACTAGTGGTGACCTGGTGGGCTTTTTGAGGAGGCTCCCCCTTCCCAGGGATCTGTGCTGCAACCCACAAAGCCCCTTTCTTAATCCAGCCCTGGACAGAGGACAGTGACTTATCGCAGAAGGGTGATACCAGAACATCCCGATACCAAACACACTCCCAAACATCACAGGAACCTGCCGACCTCTCAGAATCCAGCTCAGGGCGATGGGGCGATGGCTAGAGATGTTTGATCCAACCAACATGTGTAGATAGACACCTGTCAGAGATACTTGATACTTGCTGTGAGGGCAGGAGACTGGACTTTATGAATTCGCAAGGTCCCTTTCAATTCTATCTATCTATCTATCTATCTATCTATCTATCTATCTATCTATCTATCTATCTATCTATCTATCTATCTATCTATCTATCTATCTATCTATCTATCTATCTATCTATCTATCTATCTATCTATCTATCTATCTATCTATCTATCCATATATTCTGCCTTTATCTAATGCATATGTTGTATGCATAAACATAATAACAATAAAAATTAATAATACAACCAAGTAAGAATCAATTTATCCATTCCTACATTCAATGAAAATGTTTATTAATGTTGAAGAATTAGGCATTAATATTAAGTGCATAGTGTACTGATTTCTAAATTCACTTCATGTTAAATTAATATTTATTTCTCATGCTATTTCTACATTTGATTAAAACCTTAAATCAATATGCATCTATTGTGGTGTTTTCTGTATTTGTTAAACATGTTACATTAATAATTTTGTCTAATTATTATGATTTCTATGAAAATTAATGAGAATAATCTCGTGAGATTGAGACACATTTGTGGACTCAGGCCCCATTAGTCAGATGGACACCAGCCGCTTAAAGCAAATGGCTAAATCACAGTTGTTATGGTTACTGGGGTTACCTGCACCTCTGACCATTCTCTGGTTCCTCAGGACTCAGCCTGGACCCTCCCCGCTGTCACAGTTCAATATTGGGGTTCACCCCTCTCAAGAAAAGTCCTGGTCTAGAGCACCCCGTGCACTACCTGTGATGTCTCCACAGGGCCAACTCACTTTGCACCTGCACACCTGCCCTCAGGAGCTGTGCCCTGAGTAACTGGCTTTCTCCATGCAAGTTGTGTTTTATTTACCACAATAGGAACCCAGGGTAACATAGAAGAAAATATGAGAAATCAATTCCAGATCCATCATAGCAACAGTTTCATAGGATAGAAATTGGTCTTTATTACCCACATTTGGTTGCTCTTTGTGAATCATTACCATAGCTTTCTCTTCATAGAATCATAGACTCATAGACCGCTAGAACTGGAAGGGACCTCAAGAGGCCATCGAGTCTAGTCCCCTGCCCTCATGGCAGGACCCAGCAGTGTCTAGACCACCCCATATAACCGGCTTTTCAGTATTGCCAGAGATGGAGTTTCCACAGCCTCCCTAGGCAACTTATTCCAGTGTTTCACCACCCTGAAAGGCAGGAAGATTTTCCTAATGTCCAACCTAAACCTCCCTTGCTGCTGTTTCAGCTCATTGCTTCTTATCGTATACTCAGAGACCAAGGAGAACAATTTTTCTCCCTTCTCCGTGTGACACCCTTTTAGATACTTTAAAAATGTTTTTCCACCATAGCAAGAAAGTATTTCTTTTTTTATTTATATATCTGCTTCTAGATCCCCAAACACATGAAAAATAACAATAACCATATATTAGCATTATAATAATTGCTTGAGCAGAAACTCAGATACAAAGACATCTACAAAATTTTTTATTCCCCTTTATTCAGTACTGGGGAGGCCACATCTGGAGTATTGCATCCAGTTTTGGGACCCCCACACAGAACAGATGTTGACAAATAGGAGAGTCCAGTGGAGGGAGTTGGGTCTGTTTAGTCTGCAGAAGAGAAGAGTGAGGGGGGATCTGAGAGTAGCCTTCAACTACCTGAAGGGGGGGGCGTCCAAAGAGGAACGAGGTGGGCTATTCTCAGTGGTGGCAGATGGCAGAACAAGAAGCATTGGTCGGAGTGGGGAGAGGTCTAGTTTGAATATTGGGAAAAACTATTTCCCTAGGAGGGTGGGGAATCACTGGGATGGGTTCCCTATGGAGGGGGAGGTTTTTATGTCTTGGCTTGAGAAAGCCCTGGCTGGGATGACTGAGTTAGAGTTGGTCCTGCTTTGGGCAGGGGGCTGGACGTGATGACCTCCAGAGGTCTCTCAAAGCAGTCTCTTCCAAATATATGATTCTCTGATATCTATTTTAAAAGGAAGTAGAAAGCAAATACAAGACAAACCTCCCCTACGTAAGGCATGATTTTCACATCCCCAAATGAGAAGACACAGAGGCTGAGGGAAGTTCAGTAGGGACAACGGTACAGCTTTTGACATTCACTGGTATATGCTGAGGCAGCCTGGAGATTATACCCATATCAGTCCCTAAGATAGTTAGAGGGATGTATATGAAGATTTATGGACAGATATGCACATTTGGATCTTATTTACTCGCCTGTAAAACTTCATTCACTCATTTGATTTCAGTGGAGTTAGTTCAGATGTTACCTCTTCATAAACAGTCTACATGTTATTCTCTCAAGGATACATCCATGTCACCAAAATTTCAGAGGGACAGCTTTGTTAGTCTATAATTGAAAAAAATATACCAAATAGTCTTGTAGCACCTTAGAGACTACCAAAAAATGTTGATGGTATCACAAGCTTTTGTGAAGTGATCAGATGAAGAAGTGGGTTGTGCCCACCATCTACGTTTTGTGTTTGCCTCTAAGGTGCTGCAAGACTATTCATTACCTTTTAAGTTTTTATATGTCTCCAGTTGATTGTATTTGCAAAGAAACACAAAATGAAATCAAGAGCAAGCCCAGCTAATCTAGGTCCTGGAGACTAACCTCCCCACAGTCAGTTTCTTCAGTGCCGCTTTGAGCTCCTTGTTCCTCATGCTGTAGATGACCGGATTCATCATGGGAGGCACCAAGGAATAGAGAACAGATACTGTGAGGTCTAGACCTGATCTTGAGCCGGAGGTGGGCTTCAGATACTCAAAGAAGCTAGTGCAAATTAACAGAGAGACCACAATGAGGTGAGGGAGGCAGGTGGAGAAGGCTTTATGACGGCCAAGCTTTGAGGGGATTCTCAGCACCGCTTTGAAGATCTGAACGTATGACACAATGATGAAAATAAAACAGCTTGAAGCCAAAATTGCACCAATGGCAAAAAGACCAACTTCAATGAGGTTGGAGTCGGAGCAGGCCAACTTTAGGAGCTGGGGGATTTCACAAAAGAACTGGTTGATGACATTGGACTGGCAGAAGGGTAACCGGAAGGTGTTCCCGGTGTGCAGGGCAGAGTACACAAAGCCAGAAATCCAGGCGCTGGTGGCCATGTAGACACAAGCTCCCCTGTTCATCACTCTCTCGTAGTGCAGCGGGTTGCAGATGGCGACATATCGGTCGTACGCCATGACAGTGAGCAAGGCAAAATCAGTCGTAGCAAAGACAAAAAAGAGAAAGACTTGGGTGACACAGGCAGGAAAAGAAATTGACCTGGTGTGCATGAGTGAGTTGGCCATGGATTTGGGGATGGTGACAGAGAGTGAGCCAAGGTCTAGGATGGCCAGATTCACCAAAAAGAAGTACATGGGGGTGTGTAGATGGCGGTCAAGAGCTATGGCTGAGATGATGAGAAGGTTCCCCACCAGAGCAGCCAGGTAAATCACTAGAAACACCACAAAGTGCAAAATCTGCAGCTCCCACACATCGGAGAACCCAACCAGGAGGAAGACGGTCACGGTGGTTCGGTTGGGCATTTTCTTCCTTGGCACGTTGTGCAAAAGCTGTGGAAGGAAGCAAGAAAAAGACCCATGGTGAGCATCAGAAGGTCCAAGGGAATGTGCCTGATTCCCCACAGTCATAACCACTACTTTGTGCATCTGAGATGCAGCATTCTTGTCAAGTCCGTCGAGTGGCACTTGTGAGTTATCACACACTTGTAAAATGGTGCGGCTAGGTCAGAAGACCCAAGTTCTAATCCTACTGACCTTCTCTACATCTCTGAGCAGGGTCAGAGAGACAGCCTTTGGCTGGGGACTTCAGACCCCCATTTCACTGCACTACAGGTGCAACCTCTGTAGTCCGGCATCCCCAGGACCTGACTGGGGCTAAACCAGAGAATTTTCTGCACCATAGGAGGTCAATATATTCTAGCAGCATAAGCATCCCTTCCGCTGCTTGCTGGGCTGTTAGAAGACGTTTAGGGGTATATTAGACCTAAATAACAGCACAGAACACAGAGAGCCAGGACTGGTGTCTGTAAGCAAACTGTATGGGGTTGTGGAAAACTTAGCCAGGTCCCATGATAAGGGGGCAGCTGGCTAATTACAATCACATTGGAGCTTAGATATTGCTGGACCAGACAGTTGGGACCTGTAGTACATTTTATCGACACACTGTGGGCTACCAGCTTTGCTGCTCACACAGGTATTGCTATATTAAGTTTTCCTTTCAAAGAGAAACAAACACCACTACAATACAGCAAAGGGAATTGAAATTGTGCTGTTATTCAGCACTGTTCCAATTCCTGCTCTGTCTTCTATGCAAATATCCTTGGACGAGTTCTCAGAAGTCTTTCTGCTAAAGTTATTTTAACGGGGAGCTGAGTCTTCTACAGAAAAAAATGTCATGGCAAGTCTTTGCTATCCTAGAAAAACCACGCAGGCCTGGACTAACTGAAAACAGCTCTTTTTAAAGGCAAGCGGCATATATCATTTGTGGTCAGTTCCTCCCCCAAATTGTTTGGTTTTCAATTAACACCGGACAAAATGCTTTGATATTAATAACAAAGGTATTTTTTTCCCTTTGGCAGAAACAAAATCAGAACAGCTCTAAATGCTTGATAGGAAAAGTGGTAATGCAGGCTATATCTAGAATACGTTGCTTTTCCATGATACCAGGGATATCCCAGAAAAGCAACGCCACATCCAAGGAATGCATCAGCTTTCTCAGAAATACAATTTGAAAAAGCATATGTGCTCCTTCACCCTCCCTGTAAACCTCTTTCTACGAGGAAAAAGGGACGTGTCAAAAGAGCACTTTCTTCTGAAATGTGGTGCCGTGTAGACATGCCAATTTCTGAAAAGCCTCTTTCGAAAGTAAATCGCAAAAAGATATGCCAATTTCATTTCTTTTTCCTATTTAACATTGCAGTGCAGACTTAGCTTCAGAGTTTTGTTGTTAATTGTGCCCAGTCTATTAATACCCAAACCTGTATTCAATAGAGCAAACTTACTGTGCTGGTCTTTGTGGCAATTTCCTTCCTTGTGATACATTTATTAATTCAGGACTCTTTAAGCATTGTCCATCCTTGTGTCTCTCAGAAGTGACCCAATAAGCATTGTCAGTAATGTCTTCAATCGCTCTCTCTTTTTCTGTCTTTCGATAATGTTCCAAGCCAGCTGAGGCACTAGGTGTTTGCAGAACAATGTATATATTAGCAGCACAGCCAAGTGACAGAGAACAGCCCAGAGCTGACATGCACCAGAGCCCCAGCTGGCCTGGGACAGCCTGCTCCTTCTTTAAGCCTGCACACGCTGCTCTGGGAGGACAGAGATTTTTTTGTTTCCCCTGCGTTGCATGAGCCGCTCTTGGGATGCGGCCCCCAGAGGCTCCAACAGCTCAGGCTGCCCCGGGTGTTTGACGTTGGTCATTAAGAAGCAGCTAGAAAGATCCAAGCTGGGCCTTAAACAGGAGTAAACCGATGCCTTTTCCTGGGCGATTTACACTGCATGTGGTGGCCTTTGGATTTCAGTGCGGAGGCTTTGCTTTACATTGGAAGGGAAAAATGGCCCTAGGAAGCAGCCTCAGATGTATGTTCTCTGCCTGTGAATGTGAATTGAACAAGAGATCAGTGTCACTACCCAGTCTGCACTTTCTTAGCAATGTGCCCCATCTGGAAGAGTCCATGGTTGCTAAGATAACTCGCATGTGATTTTCCACTACTGTTACATGAATGGCACAGCCAACTTTCCCTTTCTTTCTTTCTTTCTTTCTTTCTTTCTTTCTTTCTTTCTTTCTTTCTTTCTTTCTTTCTTTCTTTCTTTCTTTCTTTCTTTCTTTCTTTCTTTCTTTCTTTCTTTCTTTCTTTCTTTCTTTCTTTCTTTACTAAATCTAGACTACAGTATCCTGGAAAAACTCTATTGCATCTGCTCTTCAGACATTTTTTGCTATGAGGAAGAAGGGCTCTTCCAAAAGAGGAGGTTTTTCCAAAATTTGACCCAGTGAAGACAGGCCAAATTTTGGAAAAGCCTCTTCCGACAAAATTATCGGAAAAGGTATGCAAATTGCAGAGCGTAACCTTTGGCCTTTAAAAAGAGACAGTCTAGACGTAGCCTTTCTTTCTTGCTTTCTTTCTTCTCCTGCTGCTCTGAGGTGGGCGGAGCCCCAAGCCCTTTACATCACTGCCAGAGCAGAACGCAGTGTGCGTGAGGCAGTGCGGAGAGGCTTCCATGTGCGTCCATAACCTTCCTCCTGAGGCCCTGCCTCTTCCTCTTGAGGCCCCACCTCTTCCCCCTGAGAATCTCCACCAACCTTGTCCAGCCACTCCACAAGTGTGTTTCCCCTACACCAGGAAATTTGGTCAGTGTAACTACATTGCTATGGGAGGTGAAAAATCCACACTTCTGAGGGATGCAATTCAACCCACTAAGCCTGGAATGTAGACAGCACTAGATGGACAGGAGAAACCATATCTCAGGAGAGTGGATTGTGTAGGCCAGCTGGAGAGCCCCTTCCATTGATTTTGGGAATGTCTTCACTGGAGTGCTCCAGGGGCCCCACAGTGGCAGTGTTTTAAGATTCAAGAACCCCACCCCCGCCCAATATCCTTGTCAGGATTCCTCTGGGACAAAGAGGTGGGGAACTGAAGTTGGCTTACCCCACAATATCTTCACCGGGCGTTCTCACAACTTGAAAGCCCACCTCTGGCTGTGTAAAGTCTGCTCATACAACCATAAAAAATCACATTCTGCCACCCAGAGGAGCTTGTGGCACCATCGGGCCATTGGATGGATGAAAAATCGTTGGTCAAATCCAGATCCCGTGGCCGGCAAACTCACAATTATTCTGGTTATTCCAGGCCTAACTGCAATTCCCATCACTTCTCTGGTCAGTCAAAGGCCTCATCTCTGCCCCTCTCTTTGGGACACAATGCAAAGGGAAGGGTGTGAGCACCTCATGTATTATCTGCAGGAGGAACATCACAGTTCCAGTGTCACCCCGGAGATCCCGTGTCCTCACAGATACGTGAGCTGGATGAGGAGTCCAGGTACTGCCCCGACGCCAGCTGAGCGTAGGGGCCCTGCTCCTGGGCCTGCCATGCTCTCCCCGAAGTGTTATCAGTGAGGGGAAGGGAGCCGGGTCTTTCTCCTCAGCCACCGGAGGGAAAGGTGGAGCCGAGCGTTCTCTCAGTGAAGCACCACACTGTACTGGGTGGGGATGGAGGATCTGGAGAAGCTTATCCATTCTGCCTCTTCTCTCTCTACCCCAGGCCCAGCTGCCAAATAGGCGAGGAGAGAGAAGCAGGAGGAAAACCAGAGCCAAGGCCCACAATAATTTGAAATCTGGAAGATGGGCACTTGACCCCACATGCCCACATACACACATTACCCCTGTGGTCATATGTACTTCCTAGTTTAGCCACAACATATTATAAGATCCTATGGCTGGGAGAGACCTCAGGAGTCATCGAATCCAGCCCTCTACCCAAAGCAGGACCAACCCCAACTCAACCATCCCAGCCAGGGCTTGGTCAAGCTGGGACTGAACCACCTCTAGGGATGGAGATTACACCCCATCCCTAGGGAACCCATCCCAGTGCTTCATCACCCTCCTGGGGAAATAGTTTTTCCTAATATCCAATCTAGACCTCCCCCACTGTAACTTAAGACCCTTGCTTCTCATTCTGGCATCTGCCACCCCTGAGAACAGCCTCTCTCCAGCCTCTTTGGAACCCCCCTTCAGGAAGTTGAAGGCTGCTCTCAAATCCCCCCTCACTCTTCGCTTCTGCAGACTAAACAAACCCAAATCTCTCAAATATTTAGAGAAGTCATTTGATGAACAACACCAAATAATTAACACATTTCAGGAAACAGTGATCTAGACATCGACAGTCATTGACAGAAAAAGAGGCACAATATGGCATTGACCCATATTGTCATCCATCTATCTATCTCCTCATATATACTGCTTTTATCTAATGCATGTGTTGTGTGCACAAACATGCATTATTATTATTTCTACTATTACTACTACTACTAATACAATCAATTAAGAATCAATTTATTCATTCCTACATTCAATGAAAATGATTGCTTAATAAATATTCATGAGTTACTCAATATTGATGAGTTACTTAATATTGATGAGTTACTTAATATTGATTGGTCAAATCAACACCAGCTCCTCGAAGCAAATGGAGAAATCCCAGTTATCATGGTTACTGGGGTTACCTGCACCTCTGACCCTTTTCTCGTTCTTCAGGAGTCAGCATGGACTCTCCCCACTGTTAAGGTGCAATATTGGGGTTCATTCTTCTCTCAAACAGGGTCCCAGCCTAGAGCACCGCTGTGCAACACATGGCTGACTCACTTTGCACCTGCATGCCTGCCCTCGGGAGCTGCGCCCCGAGTAGCTGGCTTTCCCCATACAAGTTGTGTTTTCTTTACCACAATAGGAACCAAGGGTAACATACAAGAAAGTATCAGAAAGCAATTCCAGATCCATCATAGCAACAGTTTCATAGGCTACAAATGTG